CCTTCCAGTTGCTTCATACATAAAAGATACTTGACACAGTACGCACAAAAAAATAAACAAAATTACAATACTCCACCACTCCCTACTATTTTCATTCCATAAAACTTCTCCTTACCATTCCATCTTACATTGTCACTAAAATTAACAAAGCATTCTCCCACTCTCCACTATTTTACCTTTATGTTGAATCAGTATATCCAAACCTTCTCCACAGAATCAATGCATGCCTATTGGGTTCTAATACCACATTCATCATACATCCTCTTATGGAAATTAAATAAAAATAAATAAACCAATCCACTGATAGACCTCTCAAAATCATATCCAACCGCAAGTAAAAGGTTCAACAAAACACAAAGACGTCCACGAGCAATCCAAACAATATAATTTAAAAAACCAATAAATAAATAAATAAGAAAACCCCGTTAATTCTCATTCATAACGAAACGAATAAAAAACTCAGATCCTTGACAAAAACGAACCCAAAAAAAAAAAAGACCCACTTCCCAAATCGACCCAAAAATAACAACGAAAAAAATAAATTACCTACAAGTGAGATCTAAAATTCGAGCTTTAGCTCTTCACTTTCAGCAGAGAAGTAGTGAAGAATATAGGGAGTGACACGAACCACGGCAACCCAGGCACCGAACATGGCCACGTGGGTCCGTAGCTGCTTCAAGGCCGCGGCCTTGTCTGGCTTGCGCATGAACAGTCCTGGAAACATGATTTCTCCTTTTCTTTGCCCTGAACCTAAAACCCTAGATGCGTTTTGCCTCTTTCTATGCAACTACGCTTCGGGGTTTTAGGGCGTGAAGTGAAATTTAAAAAAAAAAAAAAAAAAAAAATAGGCACGTGCTAATCACCTGCACAAATCAACAGTGATCTCTACACGTGTATCTCAACGAGTCCCGATATTTGGAACAATATCACTAAAACCCTTATGTTGATTAAAAATATAATTTACCCCTTACCGTTCATAAATATGAAGACTGGCCCACGTTATTTGATAATTGTTATCTAAACATTATTGTTTTGGAAATTTAAAGATTTTCTGAATACTTTAATGGGTCAAAATCAAGCTTTCTTTTCACGTCCTTGGTGGAATTATTTTTATAATATGATTAATTGAAGTTGAAAGCCTTAAATAATGTTGATTTCCCTTAAATCCAAAGTAGAATCGGTAAACATCATCCAAATTATGTTATTTTTCAATTGTGAAAGCTTTTTGTGGCCTATTTGTGTTTAGGTATAGGCTCTACACCACCAAGATCGAACCGGCCGATTCGATCGAGAATCGAACCCTTATCCAATCCTAGTACATCCTAAACCAATTATATTAGTTAGACGGAATTGATCAAGGTTGAACAGATGGAATAGTGCCAAATCATCGAGTTAGAGAACCGGACCAGTGATATTAGTATGGCATAATAAAATTTTAAAATTCTAATAAATTTCCAAAATTATTTCATCTAAATCCAAAAAACAACATAACTTAAATAGAATAAAACGAAATCCCAAATCCAAATCCCAAATTCAAATAACAATATGTCATGCTGATGTAACTGGTTCGATCGATCAGTCAAACGAGTCAACTCAGAAACTGACCCCTTGACCAGGCCAAGGCCTAGTTGCTCCACTCAATTCATCCGTGCCATGACAAATCATAAATTTTAGAATCAATGTAAGCTAGCCGAATATAATTTCATTGTTTATGTCAAGCTAGCCCAACATGATAGATCCAAAAGATCTAAACAAGTGGGTTGCACCAACACGATACAACCCATTTTACACGTCTAAGTATATGTACCAGAAGCTATCAATCACTATTAAATTATACGTCTAAACCTGTCCACATTATTAATAATTCGCTCTAACCATCTGGGTTACCTATGAATGGATAATTGATATTAAATTACTATATAAATAATGACCACCATCAATCGTCATGTCTTATGAACGTGATATCACCGCTAAGAAATATATACATCTTATGCAAATTTTTTATGTTATTTTATAGTTGTAACGCATTGAAGGGAACACACATTTTTCAAACAAATACTAAAGATGTTTTCATGAAGTAAAATGTGAAATTGATAATAAATATGATAAATCAACATAAGATAAGATTATTGTAATTGCAAATGTCACAACACAAGACTTAGAGCCTACAATTTTATTGAATCAAAATTCTTTATTAGATTTTGTGATCTAAGATCATAATCAAATGCAAATCTACACCGTTCATGGAAACTCATTTTTGGACTGATTCAAGAGTAGTGGCGCTTTCCTTTTTAACTTTCTCTCATTGCTTTATTAGTGCTCTACACCAATTTTGACTTCTATACAACGATTTTTTTCTTAATGGGTTCTCATCTCATCAAGTGTGACATTATAAATACGAATTAATTTGATACCGTAAATAGGTTCGGGTAAAATTCACTTTTAAAAGCTAGCTTAAGAGCGGAGAGAACTCAACCACATAAAACACTTAAGGAACTGGCATAGTGGTTAAGAAGATTTGTTCTTTTTATTAACTTCTTGGATTCAAACCACCTTGGAGTCTCAACCACATTTATGGCTTATCTTAGAACATTGGGCTTGTAAGATGTTTAGTGGACCTCGAAGATTAGTTAAGGTGTAAGTAAGTTGGCCCAGACACCTTGGTTATTAAAAAAAAAAAAAAATCAATCATATATATGCACCACAACAGTCTACTAAATTAACGATGTGAGACAAATACAACTTCTAACAATCATAAAAAAATTTTCTTGAAACATTGGACTTGTAAGATGTTTAATGAGCCTCGAGTATTAGTTGAGATGTAACCTAAACACTCCGGTCATTTAAAAAAAAAAACCTACAAATATACACTAAATTGATAATGTGAGACAAATACAACTCTTAACGGTAATAAAACAAAAAATTATTGAAACATTGGGCTTGTAAGATATTTAATAAGCTTCGAGAATTAGTTGAGGTGTAGCAAACTAACCCGAACACCCTAATTATTAAAAAAAAAAAAAACCTCATATATATACTATAACAATTTACTAAATTAAAAAATATAACTTTTAAATTCTAATTACGAGAAATATTATAGGAATAATAGGTGATAAAATGTGATGATAATTTGAACACTAAGGCCGCAGTCAAAAGAGGGAAGATTACATGATGAAATTGAGCAAAACCCAGTCAACAAATCCACAAAAGTCAAACAAAAACTCTTCAGTGTTCTTGCATGAAAACCCCATTCAGTTTTGTTTGTGGAAGATCCTCCGACTTTGGGCCACCACATCAGACCTAACCTCTATTCTATAAACTAATAAATTAATTCTGTTTCTCACAGTTACCCAATCAGTATAAGCCACGTCACTCCTAGGATTTAAGACAACCCTTATTTAATGTTTAATACTGTGTGTCCCTGCCGCACCTGATTGATCCCACATGTGCCTTAAATTCAGTTACGTTGACGTGTCACTCACCCGCCACTCCCACGAGACATAACAGTCAACCCTAACATTAGACCCCCGAAATCCCCCTAACAATCTCCATTCAAAACTNTTTTTTTTTGATACTGGGGGTGTCTGGGCCAGCTTACGTATATCTCGAATAGTCCCTCAACCTTGAACAAGGCTTCCGAAATAGGGCAAATCCTGCGGTCTGTGGCCAACAATATTAGCAGTCGTTCTTGTGATTTAAACCTGAGACCACTGGGAGAGCAAAACCTTTGGCCTCAAGCCTTTATCACTTGACCAACCCATTGTTGGTTAACCTACTGTAACTTGGTGTTTGATTGTTGATCTTATTTGTTTTAGCTTGCAACATTGTAATCCTATCCTTTTATTCACCTTTCTACAGGGAAGTTTGGATGGTGAGCTTCCTCTGAAAAAGAAGACTGACATATGCACAATAATGTACACCAGTGGAACAACAGGAGAACCAAAAGGTGTTGTTCTTACTAATGAGGTGATCATGACAGAAGTACTGAGCATAGACCAATTATTTGAGATTACAGACAAAGGGGTGAGAAACCAACCACTAAATTATGTTTCTAAGCTAAATGATTATGATTTCTCCCATTGAATTTTGCTTTTTTGGCACAGTTCTTTAACCTTGCATAATTTGATGAGATTGCCTACTTATTGATTTATGATTTTCTCCACTACAGCGTTCAGAAGAGGATACATACTTCTCATTCCTTCCTTTGGCCCATATATATGATCAAACAATGGAGAACTATTGCATCTACAAGGGTTGCTCCATAGGATTTTGGCGAGGCGTAAGATGAATCTTCATTTCTTGCCATGATTTCTTCAGTTTTCTATTTAAATTTCTAGTTTAAAGCTGTGTCTAATATGGCTTTTCCTGCGTATATGCTTGTAGGATGTCCGATATTTGATGGATGACATTCAGGAGCTGAAACCAACTATATTTTGTGGGGTTCCAAGAGTTTATGATCGTATATACACTGGTATAATATACACAGAAATGAGTAAATTTTGTCTTTTTTTTAATTAATTTCAACTTTCAAGCACCCAATTTTCTGTTGACATCTAAACATTGGTCCTAAACTTGTGCTTGAAGGAATATCCAATAAAATTGCATCTGGAGGTTTATTGTCGAAGAAAGTATATGAATTTGCATATAACTAGTATGTTGTCCGATAAACCTCCTTGTCATTTTTCTTAGTTTTTCTACTGTACAAACTAACAAGAAGCTACTGCAGCAAGTTGAGCTATTTAGAGAAGGGTCTGCCACAAGACAAAGCAGCACCTAGGTTGGACAATTATGTCTTCAGTAAGGTCAGTCATATACCCTTCATCAGCTTCTTTTGAATACTTCTCTTTTACATTCTAAACAAATATTAATTTTGCCAGATACGGCAAGCATTAGGGGGAAGACTCCAAGTCATGTTATCTGGTGCCGCGCCATTGCCTATGCATGTCGAGGAGTTTCTGAGGGTCACTAGTGGCACTCCTATAACACAAGGATATGGTATAGCAGAATGATTCTTCTTCTCTGTACTTTAGGAAAAATACAGAAGATTTCTCCATCATGTCTTCAAAGGCACTGGACTTTGCATAATTTGATAGACGAAATCATATTATATCGATCACTCGTTTATGGTTTCTCTATTTCATCTTTTATCCTTACATGTAATGTTTTAAACATGTAGGTCTTACTGAAAGTTGTGGTGGGTGTTTTACATCCTTAGCCAATGTATTTCCCATGATGGGAACTGTTGGGGTCCCTATCACAACCATTGAAGCAAGGCTTGAGTCAGTGCCGGAGATGGGATATGATGCCCTTTCCAGCATGCCACGGGGAGAAATTTGCCTCAGGGGAACCACCTTGTTCTCAGGTTACTACAAGCGGCCAGATATAACCAAAGAAGTTGTTGTTGATGGCTGGTTCCATACAGGTAAAAAGGGCTTCGCCTTGCGTATGCTCAAACTCGAACTTTTCACTAAGACTTGAGAAACCAATATGGGCACATAAAAAATTCATCTGAATGTTTAATAGTTACTTCCTTGAAAAACATGTACATGGACATAATTATAAGAGATTTGCAGGTGACATTGGAGAATGGCAACCAAATGGAGCAATGAAAATAATTGACAGAAAAAAGAATATATTCAAGCTGTCGCAAGGTGAATATGTTGCTGTGGAGAGCATCGAAAACATATACTTGCAATGCCCTCTTATTGCATCAGTATGTTTCTGCATCCCTTTGGCTGAACATTCTATCTTTAGAATTAACATAGAATAAATTACTGCTATATGCCTAACAAATGTTAATCAATAACTTTACACAAATGCACAGATATGGGTGTATGGGAACAGTTTCGAGTCATTTCTTGTTGCTGTGGTGGTCCCTGACAAAAAGGCACTTGAGGAATGGGCGGCAAACCACCTTCCTGAGGCAGTTGATTATAAATCACTGTGCAAAAACCTCAAGGCAAGGAAATACATTTTAGATGAGCTGAATAGCACTGGTCAGAAACACAAGGTATGTGGATTATTTTCCTGAAGTTCCTTCTTCCTAGTTTCATGATCAATTATCCTCATTCTCATCTGACCTGATCGACAACCTGCAGCTTCGAGGTTTTGAGATGTTAAAAGCTGTTTACTTGGAACCAACTCCTTTTGACATAGAGAGGGACCTAGTTACTCCAACATTTAAACTCAAGAGGCCTCAATTGCTCAAATACTACCAGGTTTGCTTTATTCTCTTTCTTGAGGCATATTGATTTTCTTAGTTAAAAATAGTGTAAGTTCAACCATGTCTCATTAACTTTGAAATATCTTATGCCACTGTCGTCTGCAGAACCAGATTGATGAACTGTACAGTGAAGCTAAGGAACCGAAGGTATAAGAAGCTGTTTTGGAAGCTTCAAAACCTGATGTTCAGATATACAGATCTCTAAAAGTTTCCTGCTTCTGTTTCCCATTTAGTCTTGTTCGTATACCTTAGTGAAAGAGAATACCCGACAACTGAAGTGACTTGGAATGCTGATCCTTGTTATTATTTGTAGATAAATAAGAATGTTTGAAGCTTTCTAATATGTGAAATTATGTAAACACTAGTCAAATTTTAAAACTACAAAGATGTTTTCTGCTGTCATTTTCTTTCCTCTAAGGCTAAAAAAGCTTGCAAATGCCTACCTTTTACTTTCATCAATATAAAGTTGGTCAAGAATGCATCAATATAGAGAACCCAAGACCTGCAATTTTGAAGAAATTTATAGGTAAACGAGGAAACTAGATTGAAAAAGGGTTACTTATTAGAGACAGTGAGTTTCAAGTAGTTACTTTCACCAGACGTTCAAAGATGCATCGAGATAGACCGACACAAGCCCATTCCCATATGCATGCTTGCTTAGCAAGGTGTAATGAATCCCATATGAGAAGCGTATTGGGGAGATCTTGGGCTTATAAATGAAGGGAGTGTCTCCACCTAATAGGTTAGCTTTTTGGGTATGAAACTCCCAGCCCGTGACAAGTGGTATTAGAGCAGACCTGATTTGTCTTTCGATGTCCTGTCAAGCGCCCACGTAGGGGTGTCCACGTGTGATTATGGGTCCACACAAGAGTGAGGTGGACGGGTAGGCAGAGGGCCCTACCTATGACCAGGGCATCACAGGATTGGGTAGGAGAGAATGTAACGAATCCCACATCGGAAGTGTATTAGGGAGGTCCTAAGCTTATAATAGATTAGCCTTTTGGGTGTGAAACTCCTAGCCCGTGACAAAGGGTGGGCTGAATCTTGCATTTAGGGAATCAAAGGATTTTGAATCTTCCTAAAGTTGTTAAAGGGGAAATGTTGCATGTCAGAAAACCAGTAGCATAAATAAAAAGCCAGAACCCAGAAGTACTTATAATACATGAATGATTGAAAGTTTCAAACAAGGTTCCCTTTCCACATTTTTACAGAACATAGCAATGACAATGAATTTGTAAACATAACAAAAATAATGGTAAAAGAAGGCAATTCATGACATTTGCAGACTTCAAAACAATGCAGAGGTGGTTGAGAGAGTGTCTATATAAAGTCAGTTATCAATGCCCATGCTGGATAGACCAATAAAATGATAATGCCAACCGAGTTTGATATGCCATTGGCTCTTGTGAAGGAATTTCTGAACCCACCAGATGCTCGGATGTGTTCTTGCAGCAAATAACAAGCGATGACAAGACATATCGCCACACCAATCCAGCTGCCCCTTAAGGTGCTTGCAAATAAACTGGGAGCCACCACTAGCAGAAGAATCAAAGCACCTGGCATTTCCAGCCAATCTGCAATTACAGACATAAACACTGAGCCAAACATATTCGGGTAATGATCTCTATTGGTGTGCTGGAGTTGTCGACTAATTTTACACTAATGGGTTACGTAGACGCAATCAAGGGTCCCATTAAACGAGAGAAATGAGGAAATATTGCAATAATATTGACTCAGCTGAACGTAGTCTATATTAGGTGAATTAGGATAAATCATGCGTATTATTCTCTTTACTGTTTGTGATTTGTTTGTCTGTTATATTGGTTTCGTATTTGTCTCTATTTTGTTCACGGTGAACTCCAAAGTGAAGCATATGTCTGCATCATAACAGTTCAAACACAATCAAGTATAACAGTGACTAAAACCAGTGTTTTACCTGGAAAACGACTAGGGAAGAAAAGGCGAAGCACAACAGCAATGAATGCAATCCATCTTCCTATTTCTCCCCTGTTTAGCAAAGCAATTTGTTAGCTCCAAAGAAGTGGAAATTGAAGTCATGGGAAATAGGTGCTTCATATTAAAAGGAAGATCACCTGAATATGTTGAAAATTAATGAAGGAAGACTAAAGAAGATATAAGGGATCAGTAATCCTGTAAGAATGTTAGTTCTCCAATGCGTTCGGTCCAAGACCAACAGGTAACTGCAGCAATTAAACAAACAGTTTAAGTTAACGATGAAAATATTATAAGAAAAACCTATATATATATATATATATAACCAATTATTTGAGATTACAGACAAAGGGGTGAGAAACCAACCACTAAATTATGTTTCTAAGCTAAATGATTATGCTTTCTCCCAATGAATTTTGCTTTTTTGGCACAGTTCTTTAACCTTGCATAATTTGATGAGATTGCCTACTTATTGATTTATGATTTTCTCCACTACAGCGTTCAGAAGAGGATACATACTTCTCATTCCTTCCTTTGGCCCATATATATGATCAAACAATGGAGAACTATTGCATCTACAAGGGTTGCTCCATAGGATTTTGGCGAGGCGTAAGATGAATCTTCATTTCTTGCCATGATTTCTTCAGTTTTCTATTTAAATTTCTAGTTTAAAGCTGTGTCTAATATGGCTTTTCCTGCGTATATGCTTGTAGGATGTCCGATATTTGATGGATGACATTCAGGAGCTGAAACCAACTATATTTTGTGGGGTTCCAAGAGTTTATGATCGTATATACACTGGTATAATATACACAGAAATGAGTAAATTTTGTCTTTTTTTTAATTAATTTCAACTTTCAAGCACCCAATTTTCTGTTGACATCTAAACATTGGTCCTAAACTTGTGCTTGAAGGAATATCCAATAAAATTGCATCTGGAGGTTTATTGTCGAAGAAAGTATATGAATTTGCATATAACTAGTATGTTGTCCGATAAACCTCCTTGTCATTTTTCTTAGTTTTTCTACTGTACAAACTAACAAGAAGCTACTGCAGCAAGTTGAGCTATTTAGAGAAGGGTCTGCCACAAGACAAAGCAGCACCTAGGTTGGACAATTATGTCTTCAGTAAGGTCAGTCATATACCCTTCATCAGCTTCTTTTGAATACTTCTCTTTTACATTCTAAACAAATATTAATTTTGCCAGATACGGCAAGCATTAGGGGGAAGACTCCAAGTCATGTTATCTGGTGCCGCGCCATTGCCTATGCATGTCGAGGAGTTTCTGAGGGTCACTAGTGGCACTCCTATAACACAAGGATATGGTATAGCAGAATGATTCTTCTTCTCTGTACTTTAGGAAAAATACAGAAGATTTCTCCATCATGTCTTCAAAGGCACTGGACTTTGCATAATTTGATAGACGAAATCATATTATATCGATCACTCGTTTATGGTTTCTCTATTTCATCTTTTATCCTTACATGTAATGTTTTAAACATGTAGGTCTTACTGAAAGTTGTGGTGGGTGTTTTACATCCTTAGCCAATGTATTTCCCATGATGGGAACTGTTGGGGTCCCTATCACAACCATTGAAGCAAGGCTTGAGTCAGTGCCGGAGATGGGATATGATGCCCTTTCCAGCATGCCACGGGGAGAAATTTGCCTCAGGGGAACCACCTTGTTCTCAGGTTACTACAAGCGGCCAGATATAACCAAAGAAGTTGTTGTTGATGGCTGGTTCCATACAGGTAAAAAGGGCTTCGCCTTGCGTATGCTCAAACTCGAACTTTTCACTAAGACTTGAGAAACCAATATGGGCACATAAAAAATTCATCTGAATGTTTAATAGTTACTTCCTTGAAAAACATGTACATGGACATAATTATAAGAGATTTGCAGGTGACATTGGAGAATGGCAACCAAATGGAGCAATGAAAATAATTGACAGAAAAAAGAATATATTCAAGCTATCGCAAGGTGAATATGTTGCTGTGGAGAGCATCGAAAACATATACTTGCAATGCCCTCTTATTGCATCGGTATGTTTCTGCATCCCTTTGGCTGAACATAGGAATGAGAAACGAGTCGAGCATTTCGTGAGCTACTCGAGCTCGGCTTGTGAAAAGCTCGAACTTGATTCGAAGTCAATTGAGTCGAGCTCGAGCTTGAGTGGTTCGTTTAAGCGGTCAAGCCGAGTTCGATCAAGGCGAAGATCGGCTCAATAGGCTCACGAGCCTCATCACGCTCGGAAGGCCAAATTGCAAATTTTGTAGCTTTTTTTTTTTCAAGTTTTTAAAATGACAAATAGCCCCCTTCTCATAATAAACTTGAAGCTCGAGTACCCACTCATACTCGCGAGCTCGAGACTGTTCACCACGAACCAAGCTCGAGTGTCCAGATGCTTGGCTCGGCTTGGCTTGTATACACGCCTGAACATTCTATCTTTAGAATTAACATAGAATAAATTATTGCTATATGCCTAACAAATGTTAATCAATAGCTTTACACAAATGCACAGATATGGGTGTATGGGAACAGTTTCGAGTCATTTCTTGTTGCTGTGGTGGTCCCTGACAGAAAGGCACTTGAGGACTGGGCGGCAAACCACCTTCCTGAGGCTGTTGATTATAAATCATTGTGCAAAAACCTGAAGGCAAGGAAATACATTTTAGATGAGCTGAATAGCACTGGTCAGAAACACAAGGTATGTGGATTATTTTCTTGAAGTTCCTTCTGCCTAGTTCCATGATCAATTATCCTCATTCTCATCTGACCTGATTGACAACCTGCAGCTTCGAGGTTTTGAGATGTTAAAAGCTGTTTACTTGGAACCAACTCCTTTTGACATAGAGAGGGACCTGGTTACTCCAACATTTAAACCGAAGAGGCCTCAATTGCTCAAATACTACCAGGTTTGCTTTATTCTCTTTCTCGAGGCATATTGATTTTCTTAGTTAAAAATAGTGTAAGTTCAACCATGTCTCATTAACTTTGAAATATCTTATGCCAATGTCATCTGCAGAACCAGATTGATGAACTGTACAGTGAAGCTAAGGAACCAAAGGTATAAGAAGCTGTTTTGGAAGCTTCAAAACCTGATGTTCAGATATACCGATCTCTAAAAGTTTCCTGCTTCTGTTTCCCATTTAGTCTTGTTCGTATACCTTAGTGAAAGAGAATACCCGACAACTGAAGTGACTTGGAATGCTGATCCTTGTTATTATTTGTAGATAAATAAGAATGTTTGAAGCTTTCTAATATGTGAAATTATGTAAACACTAGTCAAATTTTAAAACTACAAAGATGTTTTCTGCTGTCATTTTCTTTCCTCTAAGGCTGAAAAAGCCGGCAAATGCCTACCTTTTACTTTCATCAATATAAAGTTGGTCAAGAATGCATCAATACAGAGAACCCAAGACCTGCAATTTTGAGGAAATTTATAGGTAAACGAGGAAACTAGATTGAAAAAGGGTTACTTATTAGAGACAGTGAGTTTCAAGTAGTTACTTTCACCAGACGTTCAAAGATGCATCGAGATAGACCGACACAAGCCCATTCCCATAAGCATGCTTGCTTAGCAAGGTGTAATGAATCCCATATTAGAAGCGTATTGGGGAGATCTTGGGCTTATAAATGAAGGGAGTGTCTCCACCTAATAGGTTAGCTTTTTGGGTATGAAACTCCCAGCCCGTGACAAGTGGTATTAGAGCAGACCTGATTTGTCTTTCGATGTCCTGTCAAGCGCCCACGTAGGGGTGTCCACGTGTGATTATGGGTCCACACAAGAGTGAGGTGGACGGGTAGGCAGAGGGCCCTACCTATGACCAGGGCATCACAGGATTGGGTAGGAGAGAATGTAACGAATCCCACATCGGAAGTGTATTAGGGAGGTCCTAAGCTTATAATAGATTAGCCTTTTGGGTGTGAAACTCCTAGCCCGTGACAAAGGGTGGGCTGAATCTTGCATTTAGGGAATCAAAGGATTTTGAATCTTCCTAAAGTTGTTAAAGGGGAAATGTTGCATGTCAGAAAACCAGTAGCATAAATAAAAAGCCAGAACCCAGAAGTACTTATAATACATGAATGATTGAAAGTTTCAAACAAGGTTCCCTTTCCACATTTTTACAGAACATAGCAATGACAATGAATTTGTAAACATAACAAAAATAATGGTAAAAGAAGGCAATTCATGACATTTGCAGACTTCAAAACAATGCAGAGGTGGTTGAGAGAGTGTCTATATAAAGTCAGTTATCAATGCCCATGCTGGATAGACCAATAAAATGATAATGCCAACCGAGTTTGATATGCCATTGGCTCTTGTGAAGGAATTTCTGAACCCACCAGATGCTCGGATGTGTTCTTGCAGCAAATAACAAGCGATGACAAGACATATCGCCACACCAATCCAGCTGCCCCTTAAGGTGCTTGCAAATAAACTGGGAGCCACCACTAGCAGAAGAATCAAAGCACCTGGCATTTCCAGCCAATCTGCAATTACAGACATAAACACTGAGCCAAACATATTCGGGTAATGATCTCTATTGGTGTGCTGGAGTTGTCGACTAATTTTACACTAATGGGTTACGTAGACGCAATCAAGGGTCCCATTAAACGAGAGAAATGAGGAAATATTGCAATAATATTGACTCAGCTGAACGTAGTCTATATTAGGTGAATTAGGATAAATCATGCGTATTATTCTCTTTACTGTTTGTGATTTGTTTGTCTGTTATNCCCGTGTGTTGTCTTGGCGAGGCTGTGGCTAAGGATGAAAGCCACACGCCTGCCCTTGCCCTTTGTACGGGTCTTACACTAATCTCTTTTAAGAATTAATCGAGGTGCGCATAAACTGACCAGAATATCTTAGGTACAAAAAAACTAGACAATTATTTGGTCGTGTATAAGTTCATGGACATTAGCTTATGGACATGTGTATAAGTTTACTAGAAGAGTTTGTAAAGGAAAGGGACATTATTATTAATATTTTAAAATAGTATTAAAAAAAGAAATATGATAAGGTCAAGGTTAGCAATATGCTCAAACAATTACTCTTCTAAGATAAATAGTTTATAATAAAACAGTATCAAAAGCAATTAATTAATAAGAATATATCAAAAACAATTAATTAATAAAAATAGGAAAATGATAGAGTTACCGAAAAGTGTACATCGAAATTGTACAACGAATGATGTGACAAAATCTTGACTGTTGATTAATATTAACTTATAATGAATCAA